CGCAATACCCTTCGGGTGCCATGTGAGCACGACTACGTTTCTTACGGGCGTGGTAGGGGTTCTGGGTACGTTGGCTGTGCTAGGGTTGATTGCTTTGGGGGTTTGGGTTGTTAAAGGGGTACGGAGGAGGGGTGGGTGGAAGGGTTTACCGGTTGTATTTGGGAATGGGATTGGGGGTGGGAATTGGGGTGGTGTGGTGTTTTCGCGGTGGGGTGGTAGGAGGGGAAGGGATGGGGGTGGTGCTATACTTGGAGGAGAGGATGAGGAGGGGGCGGGAGGGGGGATGAGGACTGGTGATGGTTATGGTGGTGGTGGGGAGGATGAGAGGAGGCCGTTGTTGGGGGGTGGGTGATATGCGAATGTGAATTTGAATGTGAATGTGAATGTGATAATCTGGGTTGTTGTTACACAAGGGATAAGTGGGATGGGTATGAGTATATGAATGGGTTTTATGTAATGTTATGAGGATTTGACGCTTGCATTTCATTTAGCAGGTCTTGTCGTCTGATATGTTATTCACAGCTAATACAGTATTTGCTGATTTAGCCCTGGACAACCTGGCTGACGCGGTACTCGACCACAGTGGGCTTGCCCTTTTCGATGTTGAAGCGTCCCTGGGCGATGAAGACGCGGTTCTCGAGCTCCTTGTAGCGTTCGCTGCCGGTCTGTGGTTTGTTAGATTTGGTGTATACGTTATTCGGGCTTGAATGCGGTCTATCTCACCTCGAAGGTAATGTGCGTGACTGGAATACTAGCATTAGCCTCTGCTGTCGTTTTGTGTGAGTGAGATACTTACAAGCACTGTTGAATGGAGTCGAGCCATCAGGAGCAGCTCCGGCGAAGACGGCCTGCACTTCGGGAAGTAGAGTGCAGACACCAGTATAGTTCAGGTAGATGAGCTATAGTAATGACTGGCGTTAGTTGTTACTCTCGAGGGAGTTCGAATGCCGGTTACGTACATCATCGCCATCCTTAGGCCTGTAATTCAGTAGTTAGAAGTGGAGCGTATATCTGCAACAATGGAGAAACGTACTTGATAACACCATGCGCATCCAGACGCAGATGCTTGCCGTCGGCATCCGCATGGATGTAGTCGTTGCCAACACCGACAAACTCGGCGTCAAGAGCAGGAGAGAATCCAGGCGCACTCTGGACAGTGCCGCCGGTCATGGGCTTCAGTCATACTAGATGGTTAGTAGGATGGTCTTGTGAGAAGGAAGGGGAGGGAAGATTGGGTGGCTGCTTACGACGACCTGCAGGCTGTTCTGCCGAGATGCGCTGCCTTGGAGGAATTAGCCAGTTTCCTGGAGCTATGACCCTTGTCTACTTGGTATCTATCTTTGGGACTTACCGACGCCTAGAGGAGCATCGATTGTGACCTATGTTGGGGGACAATGTTAGTTGTGCTTAAGCACGAGGTCCTGTGCTGGAGATTTTACCTTGAAGGTGAAGGCGGGCTGGAGGGTAGGAAATTCGGACATGATTAGTTCGAGTTGACTGATGCGACGATGTTCCAAAGCTGTGTCAATCTGTATTATGCTCTGATGCTTGCTGGAAGAAGTCGAGCAGCTGATAAATCCCGGACGTTAAGCCCCGCTCCTCGGTGAGGGGTCAGGGACACATGTTCCACAAGCAACGGCCAGCCTATGGCGTTCCCCCGAACGGTGATACCCGGATGATTCTGATCGCCGCGGGTTAAGGTACTTCGGGCAGTTTATTTACTGTGTAGAACTTTAGAGGACGGAAGAGTGAGTATTAGGTACTACTGTGACAACTATCCAGCAAACATAAGTAGAAAAGCTCCTTAGCTCAAAGTCACATGCTTCGACTGGGTAGCCAGATCTGGCTAATATCTCTCGATCGTTATTATTTCTGAACTACAAAGCTTTCCTCATTTACCTTCGTACTACTAGTACTCGTTCAAGTCTGCTCTTGTGGGCCGATGGCACACCATCAGGTGCTCTAGCCAACTCCAACGTCTCCTTACAGACCCCCGTTTGTCTATCAGATGATTCTATTAGTATGCAAAAGCTGACTTTCTAGTTACCAAACCGTATCACTTTCAATCACCTAATCATAAACCAGAGATCACCCGAAGATGGGGTACAGAGGCAGCATAGTGTCCTCCACTATCCAGTAGATCAGGACCACACAGCCTATCACGACTATAGTTGCATCTGGCCCGGATGACAGTGCGGCCAGCGCGTCAACCTTGGGGGTGAAAAGAAAGAAAAGAGAATCCCAAAATGCAGTCGATGACTAAGACCCTCCGACAATCTGATTGTCGGTTTCAGGCACGTGGGCCGTTTAGACGACGGTACAGGCTGCGAGTACCTTACATTAGGGGGTGGACCTTGACTGACACTGCGGCGCATCTTTACTACTCCATACAGCGCTGATTTGTTTTTCTGGTATGCTCAACAGCTGACCTGTTGAATCGAGTCCGACTGATACTCCGGAGTCAGATGTCCAGAGCAATGTGTGTCTCTCGCAGGGCTAATATTTAAATGCCAGCCAATTCACCCGTGTTCCTCTGCTCTGCTGGTCGGGTTCCAAACAAAACAAAGTGGGTCCACACGCTACCTCGCGCTTTTCCGCATCGGGGCGGTAGCTGTGACGTCGTCGACGATCCAGTTCAACAAATCCTCCATCTCATGTAAATTACCCCCGGTATCGCTATTTTTTGGTCTTGTTTTTAGCTCCGTTTTGGCTTTTTCACATAGTGTGTCGCGTGCTCACTGTGTGCTTCATGTCTGACTCTATTGATCAAGGTTAACTGGTCTCCCGCATCGTCGGGGTTTCGCCTCCTACTCACAGTCTTCCCAATGGTTCCGACTCGTCTCCTTTCAGCGCTCTCGCTGCTAGGAATCTATGTTTCTGCCTTCCCGGTTGTGGAACAGCAACCTCTAGGTGACGGTCTCCAAGATGTGTTCCAGCTCGAGCAACCAGATGCCGATGCGGAGTCCTTCCGGACACTTTCAGGCCGCTTTCTGCACATAACAGGTACCTCTTCCTTTCTTAACCTACTCGATATCAGAAGCAAGAGGGGAGGAGGGACAGGCTAACTATTTCCAGATCTTCATCCAGACCCCCTCTACGAGCCTGGAACCTCCGACGAAATGAGCTGCCACGGAGGTGAGGGCTCCGCCGGGTACTATGGCGCCGAAGAGACAGAATGCGACTCGCCCATTATCCTCGTTAATGAGACATTTCGGTGGATCGAGAACAACCTTAAAGGCAATATTGACTTTGTCATCTGGACCGGTGACTCTGCACGGCATGACAATGATGAGAGGAATCCCCGCACGGCAGATGAGATCGTCCGCTTGAATCAGTTCATGGTGGACAAATTCACCGAGGTCTTTGGCGGAAAGGACACCATCCCCATTGTTCCGACTTTTGGAAATAACGATGTAATGCCGCATAATATCATGAAAACCGGTCCGAACCGGTGGACGAAGAAGTACCGCGAAGTCTGGCACAAGTTTATCCCCGAGCATCAACGTCATAGCTTTGTCGAAGGCGGCTGGTTCGTCTCGGAGGTGATCCCCGATGAGCTCGCAGTTATCAGCTTGAACACTTTATACTTCTTCGACTCCAATTCTGCTGTCGATGGATGCGATGCAAAGTCGGAGCCTGGCTATGAGCACATGGAGTGGCTTCGGATCCAACTGGAGATGCTGCGGACACGTGACATGAAAGCCATTCTGATAGGTCATGTTCCTCCGGCAAGATCTGGTAGCAAGCGCAGCTGGGATGAAACATGCTGGCAAAAGTATACACTATACGTGAACAGATTCCGTGACGTCGTCGTCGGCAGTGCATACGGGCACATGAATATCGATCATTTCATGCTGCAGGACAGTCGCAAAGTGGACATTACTGCTAGCAGTGAGTCCATTGTCTCGTCCGATCTTTACGATGACTCAGGAGAGATCTCCATCCAGTCTCGTTATGACTATCTATCCAGTCTCAGGAAAGACTGGTCTAGTCTACCGTCTCCACCTGATGGTAAAGGCAGCTTTCTGGCAGATGGATGGTTCGAAGAGGAACAGGAAGCTGCGACGAGCTCAAAGAGCTCAAATCCCAAGAAGAAGCAGAAGAAGTTTCTCAAAAAGATTGGCGGTCCCTGGGCCGAGAGGTACAGTGTGTCGTTAGTGTCACCGAGTGTGGTGCCGAACTTCTTCCCTACGCTGCGGGTAGTCGAGTATAACATTAGTGGCTTAGAGACCAAGATGTCGGCCGACGCCCCTACCTACAACAACCTGGGTATGGCGAACGTGGTCCACGATGAGGATGGACTTTCGGCCGACAAGAAGAAGAAAAAGTCCAAGGACAAGGTTCCCAAGCCCCCATCGCCGACTGCGCCTCCGGGGCCGGCATACTCTAACCAGGCATTGACCTGGCTTGGATACACTCAATACTATGCCAATCTGACCGAGATCAACCGTCAGATGGCGCAACGCCACCAAACATCGGCAGACGAATTCTCTGACTCTGACCAAGACAATGGCGCTCGTGGGCGGAAACTCGCAGATGTCTTTACGTTCGAGGTCGAATACGATACCCGAAATGACAAGATCTACAAGATGGAGGATCTCACCGTGCGGAGCTTCTTCAAGCTGGCGAAGCGAATTGCCAAGAACAAGGCGGGTAAAAACGATATCTGGGTTGAGGATGCGACCGCCGAAGAACCCGACGCGAATGCTTCTGGTACCGTCGACAACATCGGAGACGAAGTAGAAGTCGAGAAGAAGAAGAAGAAAAAGAAGCATAAGAAGCCTAAGAATCGAACATGGAGAGCATTCTTGGAGAGAGCTTTTGTCGGAACTTTGGACCGTGACGAACTTGATGATATAGAATAATGGTACCTGTTTACCGGGGAGTTGGACAGGAGGTATACGACGTTATGGCTGCGACGTTTCCCTTGCTCTTAGCTTATCTGTGTTGCTGCAATGTATATAGTGCTTCAGTTTTTAAGGATCACTTTTGGAAATAGATCGCTGCTCTTTGCTTCCACTCATTTGTCCTCCGGAAGAGGCGGTGGGGAACTGCCGCGGCAAACTGTTGCAGATGCAGGCTGTCGGTCATCATTCATTCATTCATCCACCCCCATCTCACTGATCAATCAGTCCTGTGCTTGTGGTATGACAGAGCCACTGATATCATCTCCTTTCATCTCTGGTTGTAATCGAAACCGATCGAGGGACCAACCTTCCACACAGCCCCATGGAAGACGCACAGATGCTTCCGATGCCACGCTGGCAGATGGCCGCCAACTGTCATCATCCAGTGCTGCCGCCATCCTCATGCAAAGCCTAACGCTAAGAAGCGCGCGGGCGCCGAATTTCCACGCTTGCAGCTTAGTTGAGCGACCCGGCTCAGTGGCGGCTCGCTCATGCATAGAAAGATGGGTTTGGACCCGCGCTGGGTCTTCCATCTGCAACACTACTCGCAGGCCATGTGTGACTTTTGGCTGCCAAAAAAGAAGAGGCTGGCGACAGCTGGTCCACTGTGCTATTCCTATCTCATCCTCCCGGCTGGATCAAAAGCTGCACGGCAGGGGAAATCAGCAGTTGGGCTCTGACACGTATCGAACTAGCCGATGCGCTGTCCTTCCGCCTAATGCCTACTAAGTCTTAGGGACGGGACCATCAACCAACATGCCACATTGCCCTTCGTAATTCCTTTTTCACTTCAGTGATGGTGGCCACACAGGAAATGACGTCCCTCACCGTGGTTGCAATTGGTGCCCGATGTCTCATCTCCGCTTGGAACGGCGGCGAGGGCAGAATGAGAATTAACGGACACAGCAGGAACTAATAAGACAAACAGACGGCGTTCTAATTGATCGTATTTCACGGAGTAATCTCTCTTTCTACAGAAGCGGGGGTCCAATCGCCCTATATGTATAGTGGAGCTTTGCCGCATTGATTCGCACGGCATTATACCTCCGCACTGCCGTGGCTTCATCCACTTGGCTGTGGCCAGGGAAACATCAACGGGGCAGATAACCTGCCCTTGCATCATTGTTGCTCCGCACATCCATTCATTATCGCTCTAATCCCACATTCTCGCGCAGCTGCGACCGAGTGCCCAACTTCAATTGGGACGAGAATTGACTTTCAGAACATTGACTTTTTGTGGTTATATCTTCTGTTGCCTCACCCAAGCAGGCTTCGTTTCATGGGATAGCGACTTCAGGCCTTGAGATAGCTGCCATCACTTCCGGCCCCAAACTCGTGGGCGGTGCCCGCCCATCGCTGGCAAGAAGCACAGACTAACGCCTTACCTCGCCTAGTTGCACACGATGCATCAAGACTTCCTCCTATTTCAAAACGACCAGTTCCTTGCCCTTTGTTGTTTCGAATGCCCCCTTCCCCGTGCCTTGCGTTCCTAAATCCCACCTATACCCTTTTGCGCTCCCACGCCCGCTTGACTATCACATTCTTCTGCTAGCATAGCCTTGCATACAGGGCTGCTGACAGCAGGCTGAGGAGAGTTCTCATCTAAAAGAATTGATCTGGGTGGTTTCCTTTTCGGGTTAACGATTTGCTATTTAAGTCTGATTGCACTACGGAGTACACCCGCGATCTGAACCTCGCTGATTCTCCAATTAAAGACCACTAATTGCTGACATATGTAACATACTTGCTTTTGTTTTCCAAGTTGAAATTGGCGGCTTTGTGCTTTCGTCACTAGGAGTCTCTGCATGTACAACTGATCGGCTATTCAATCCTATTCGGAAGCGGCACCGAGAGGCGTGGGCAAGCCACAGATACGACGAGTCTGATTTTGAGACGGGCGCATTCAACGAAGGACTGCGCTTGCAATTGAGGATTTCAATTGCGGAACTGGCAACTTAATACCCAAACATATCGACCTTTAGGCGCCAGCACGAGCATGGGAAGCTTTGGTGCATGCGACGGCTGATCCAATTCTAAGAACCGTTTGCGCGCGCGTCCGAGGTAAGGCTCCCGATCCCTTGGCGCTTTGCATGTTTCACTCCGATGCATCTATCTTTTATATGAGCGCGGTGGGCAAGCTGTGGCCACTGACTGAGGATTCTTAAACTACCCGATGCTGTGGGATCGGTCCTCCCCTCCAAAGCTGTTGTTCGGTTACACTTGTTCGAAGCTTGTTCTGTTATATACCAGATCATCATGGATATGACTAACTTGGCAGTCGATTGCCCTGTGATAGAAACCGGCTCCCTTGCTTTGTGGATGGCTTCCTCCGAAGTGGACCAGAAGGCCTTGGGCAACTTTGCGGCCATGACGGGCCTCGAGAACCCGTTCCTGTCCGCGATGCTGTACAAGATTCTCGGGTTGTCTGTTATGCTATCAAAGAAGCTCCTCCGTGCACGACGACTGCGACGTCTGGACCCGTCTCGGGAGACCAAATCGCTTCAACTTTATTACCATATCATCTGGCTTTCCCGCGAGGGTCTTTTGGTATTAGAGGAGTTTGTCCTGCCCCTGGTTGAGGGATGCATGGAACTCAAGATTCTAGCCTACAAGTTGCGCGCCTCCTTCTATCATATATTCGTCCTGTTTCAGAATCAGCCTGCTGTCCACACACCGGGTATCGTCAGCCTGCCGAGTAGTACACCTCTATCCAATGGCGTTACTGAAGCCGAGTCACCATCCAAAGATTCCAATTCGCGATTTTCGTTCCAGCTGAAGCCCGATACGATAACGGTTTCCGGGAAGCCCAGTTCCGCCTCGGATAGTGCGCCACGAGGCAAGGTTACGCAGGCACCCCCGGGCTTCGCGCCGGTTCAACCGCCCAAGTCGACCTCCTCGTTTCTCCTCCCTGCACTCGACTACACCCCCACAGCTACCGCATGCTTCAATCATGCTGCACTCTTGGCGGATCAATTCCTCCCAGGCTCGCACCCGCTCCGCCTGTCCATCAAACTTGAATTTGCTGCCTACCTCTACGACTGCCTACATGACGCCCATGCCTGTCGACGGTTGGCCAAGCAAGCCATTGCCGATGTATACAATGCGCAGGAGGGCATGGACGACGAGAGCTTCGAGGATGCGGCTGAGATTGTGGGGATTTTGGGCAAGATGGTGAAGCGGGGAAGGAACGCAAGCAGTGCTGGAAATAGCACCACGGCTTTGAAAACACCTCGGGAAGAGCGTAGTGAGGGCACTCGAACGCCGTCCTCTCAGACAACGTCGAAGAAGCCGGCAGCGCGAGTGCCGAAAAGCAGCTCCTCTCCGGCGCGCGCGACCAAAACGACGACTAGCGAGGGCATGTTACCCGCTGTGCCCGACCCCACCATGATGAATCCCATATGATGCCTTTTTGCTTACAAGTCTGTATATGCTTCTTCTTGGACCTACGGGGGAGTCGCGCATGGAGCGCTTGGCCTGTAACTTTTACTTGACTTGTACGTGTCTGTATCATCTCTGTACGGAGTTGCGGCGATAGATTGGAATTGGGCATTAGCTCACGAGGAGCTGTGGTCAGTATGAGCGATTAAGCGTGATGAAAAGCTCAGGTGGGAAGGGCAGACCACCAGCCAGTTGTGATGGTGTAGATAAATTAGATCTGTGCGATACAAAGGATGTTGTTGATGTCATGCACCCCACTTGTGTGTGCTTGTCTGGACAATAATGGACCTACACTTGATACTAGTTACTAGTAGCAACAATTGTCAGTCTCAAAGCCAATGGCCATGGGGCCGGATGGATTCGATGGATCTCTTGTTGATGTTGCAGTGGAGGCCAACGCATTGTCGCCTGAGGCAACCCCCCACCCAGGGTCCGGTGTAAAATACCATACCGGGCAGGACAGGATAGATTACCGGCGAGGCAGCAGTTTTCCCATTGACTCCTGAAAGTATATTTCATGTTGTGTGAATGAGAAAATAGAATTGACTGATGCCTGCAGGGGGGGCAACTTTGAGTGACTGAGAGGCGAAAAGTCAATACGCAAACGGGCAATTTGTTTCTATAGATACTTCTTTTTCTCATCGACATCGACACGAGGGTGGATTACGACGACGACCCTTCTTGGCGCACCACCTGCGAGGCCATCCATCGCCAGCAAAGAAACAAACCTTTTTAGCCATTGCGACCCTTTGGGTTCTGTCTTTTACGTCATTCGACGGGGATCGTCTCCTGCAGCATCCGGCAGTATTATCTTTACAATTCCATCTCCAGCTGATCTTGCGCGCAAATCAGATTCCCCTCTTCGTCCTCCACGTCGATTTCCTCCTCCTCCTCCCCCCACCACCAACATTAAGTTGTGTTGTTCTGCTCTTCGTTGCCGGGGGCTCGAGTGCAAAAAAGGACGCGACTGCTTTCCCTTCCCGACCGTCCGACCGCCTGATCGACATCATCGCCCAGAAGCGAAGGACCGCAGATCCAGCGCAAGACCCTGAAAAAAGAAACGCACCCGAACGAGGTTCTGCCCCCAAGGCTGCGCGCGCAATCACGTCTGTCAGAAGACCCTGAACGAGGCTGCGACGCATCTATACTTCTTTACTTACTTGCATAAACCCTCCGAATCTTGAATCTCTTTTCCAATTTCCACTTACTTTTTTTTTCTCCTTTATTTTTGATTTCCTCGCTGGCAATGAAGCTGTTCGTTCTGGAAGCCTCTCAAGCACGCGGGATCCTCATCGGCTGTTAGAAATACCTCTCTTTTTCTCTCCGAGGATTGTGGATTGGAAACCCAAAAGTCAGGCCTTCGTCGGTCGCTGACTGTGGATAATGCGGTCGGGGCTTCAGAAACCTGGGGCCATTCCGTTTCTTGCTCTCTTGGTCTTTTCGCTATTTAGTTTGGTGCCGTCGCTAGCAAAGGAATGGGATTTCTATAACGTGCACCTGGGTCATATCGGCTATCGCAATGACGTTCGACGTATGCATTCCTTATTTCTTCTTCTATCATTCCCCCTCCCCCTTTTTCTCTCTCCCCATGTGTTTGGCTGAGTCAGACAAGCTAACGATTGTGCTGCTGCAGATGTCTCTCGGGTAAAAGATAACTGGGCCGATGTTCGAACAAGATCTCGGGTCTCTGGGAGTGGCTGGAAGCCATGGCTCCTAGATGGATATTATCAGGGGTTTTACGAACGCAAAACTCGTCCGCGACGTTGTGCGGTGGACGCGCCATCTCGGAGCTCTTTTGAGGCTGCTGCCGTCTTCGATACCGATCCTTTGGCATTTCCGGCCCGAGAATCCTCGGCTTTCACTCGGGGAGTCCGCGCTTTCAAGGCAATGGTCATCAGGCAGCCGGATGAGTCGCAGCTACTTCCGACCTATGCAGCGGAGGGTGATGCCATCGAGCAATTACCTACGCGACTAAGCGCGCTCGCCAATTCCTCAGTTACTCCGGCTGCTCCCCTCGACGACGGACCTTTCGGGGTGTCGCCTACCAGCAATTCCATGATACCAGCCACCAGCAGCGTGGTTGATATATCTCGATGGTTGCTAGGGTTGTCCCGTGCCTCATGGCAGCAGGTCTGCCGCGCGGGGAGCGAGTATCTGGAGAACATGACTGCTTGGCAAGCCCGCCAGCCCAACTTCGACCTCTCACAACACGACAACCACACCACCTCCTCACATCCAACAGTCCCACATAACCACACACCCCGCGAACAACCTATACCCCCGAAAGCAGTAGTCGTGAGAAATAGCGACGACACCGCCGACGACGCCAGTCAATCAGCATCTACACCAAGCGCCACGCCGCCCCCGCCGGCTCTCTCCCCCAACAGCACCGCGCCGACTGCCGGACAGTCCAAAGTCGCGGGATTCCAGCAGGAGACCGAGCACATGCGCCGGGGTAGCTGCATGGCCATAGTGATCGGCCTAGTGGTGGGCGTGATGTGGTTTTAAAACACACCTACCCATCCATCCTCACTCCAGTCATGGAATTGACTGGGTGGTTGTCGGCTGGCTGGCTTATTATGATTCTTTGCAGATTTTTGCTCTCACTGTATTTGGTTTAGTTGTACATCACTTGCTGGGGGGAGTCTGATGAGACACCCATTTTGTTTTCTTTTCATGCCTTTATGACTGTTGGACGGATCGGATATAGGGATGGGATGGGATGGGCTGGACATAGGAGCAGCCTGAACTGGCCTGTCGAGTGCAGTATGCCAATCAATATATAATAATCTTCACCGTGCGATACTGCAGTGGTCCTCGTATGCGTCTATATTAGGGAGTAGAGCGGTGCTGTAGATTAAAAGTCACATACTAGTTAAGTACTGAGCAACTCACGTCCACAGACCTCAGATACTAGTAAGTTTCTTTTCCATGTAGTACTATCACCCACCACCACCACCACCACCACCACCACCACAATCAACAGACAACTTATATAGTACTACTAGTACTAATATACTACTACCTATACAAGCACACCTCACCTCACCTCACCTCAGCAATAACCTAAACCCCAAGCCAACAACTTATAACCACCTACTATGAAGTACTAGCACTAACTCTCTTCATCCTCATCCCCTGCACCACCGCCAACACCCCAATCACCGCCACGCACTCCAACACCACCGCCAACTGCCACGACCTCGTTAACGCCTCATTCAGCACCACCAACACCCCCCGCTTCCCCTCCCCAGATAACCCCTCCGTAAGGGTCGAAATCCCCCCAGACAACAAACCACTCACGTCAAGTCCATCATCACCCACTGCAGTGCCCTCTAACCCGGCACTGAGCTCGTTCGTGAAGAGCGCTTGGGCGACGGCGACGAATATGGACCTACACCAAGCATACAAAACCTTTATTCAGTGCCAGTCTCTTAAAAAAAAAAAAAAAAAAAAAAAAAAAACACCTAGAACAAAGGGAAAAGGGGGGATGAAGGGAGGATACATACGCCCCCACCGTCTGCGAAAACATGACCAACCCCGACCCAATCGGAATATCCTTCAAGGGAAGTGCGTGCTGCGCCACCATCAACGGGGTGACACTACACAGACTGGACGATATGGCAAAGATGATTTGATATCCGATCCATTCCCCTGTGGGCGTGTCGACAGTGAATGTGGTGAAGAGGCCTGAGCCCACGGCGCCGAAGATTATGGCGATTCCCATGAATATGTCCGGATGGCCGACTTTGGACATTAGGATCCCGCCCGCTAGGGAGATGATCGTGCTGGTTATTACCCATGGGAGGGTCCAAACGCCGGATTGGATCGGGGTCGCGGATTTGACGCCTTGGAACCAGCTGATTTTTGTTTGGTTGGGTGGTTAGTGGGGGGTTATGGAGAGGGAAAGGGGGTACTGGGGGGGAGGGGATGTACATGGGAAGGTAATATGTGAGGACGAAGATGGCGCTGACGGTGCAGAAGCCGAAGAAGGATGCTGCTGAGACGGTGCGTTGGGTGAATACCCTCGAAGGGAGCATGGCGTTGGGACCTTGCCATATCTCCACGCTGATGAATGCGATGGCGAAGATGCCTGCGAGAACTAGCAGGACGATGACTCTGGCGTCTTGCCAGGCGTATTTGAGACCGCCCCATTGTAGGGCGAGGAGGAGGCAGACGATGGATGGGAGGAGAGCTACGAGGCCGAAGAGGTCGAGGGTCTTGAGGAACTCGGTCCACGAGGTGAAGGCTTCGTGGTCTCGTTTAGGCGGATGGACGAGGAAGAAGAAGGCGATTTGGATGACGGCGCCTATGGGGAGGTTGATGTAGAAGTTCCACCGCCAGGAGACCTTCTCAGTAAGGACACCTCCGATCAAAGGCCCGAATGTCGTGGCGAGTCCGCGGGATCCTGAGAGGAGACCGAGGAGGATGGGGCGTTTGGCTGGGGCAACGAGGATGGGAACGAGAGAGAAGGCCGCGACTAGGAGTCCTGAGCAGCCTACGCCGGCGATGGCGCGGCCGATAATGAGGGAGTGCGAGTTGGGCGCTGCGCCGCAGACGGCGGAGCCTACGAGGAAGAACAGCATTGAGATGCTGTAGATCCAGCGGACGGAGTAGCGGGCAAGAAGTTTGCCGAAGAGGAGCTGGGTCGTGCAGATGACCATGGTGTAGACGCTGCTGTACCAGCCGACATCGCCCAGCGAGTGGAAGTCGTCAGAGATGTAGGGCGTCGCTGTGGCTATGATGGTGCTGTCCTAGATATAGGGTTTGCGTGTTAGCATATGTGGTACCCTGCTGAGGATAGCATACCAAGGTGACGAGGAATATTGCCAGGCACAAGGTTGCAATTGCAAGATAGTATTTGATCCCTGAAGGGTAATGAGAAGCTGCAATGGTTGCATTCTGACTGTTGTCTTTGGTCTCGTTCTTGTCAGTGACCTGTCCTTGAGGTTGCTGGGCCTCAATGCTGGGCAGGGAAATGCTATCGGATCTCTCCATGTTGGAGAGCCTTGGAGTTCAGGGAAAAATCTAGTGAAAAGGTAACGAGCGACTGATTGACTGACAGACTGGATGAACGATATGTTTTAAACTGACACGGTGAGTTTAGGGGAACAGCCCATCATAACAAAAGCCCAAATCACAGCCACCAGACGCGTTTAGTCTCCATCCTGCCTGACAAGGCTTGCAGGGTTCAGTAAACTAGTGGGAACTTATGAGACAAGGTTGTGATAGGTAGGCAGGAGAACAAAGAACCCGCAAAAGCGACTAATCACTGCATTAGACCCTTCTTCAAGGCAGCATTCGAGCTTGAGTTCTGCCTATCCAGAACATGAGATGCTGACAGAAGTGATTGGGTTGACAGGGAAAATGAAGCCGGGTATACCATCCTTGTCATTCTCCACCGTGAGTCTCACTTAAAGATGGAGCGATAGAGAGCACGGAAATACCTCCACTTATACTAGTATAGTGCACCGACACTACGCTTCAACCCCACTACATTAGACATCTGGATGTCATCCAGCCACCGTCGATCTCCGTTGCCATTGCTGGTATGGCGTGTCGCTGTATCCCAATGTCCGAGGTTCCTCCATTAGTGGAGACAGCGTTGCGCGATCACCGAGGATGACCAGTCCAGGTTTCTGACTCGCTGTGATGTGCTATGCTATGCTAGTCTCCAATCTAGAACTCAATGGGTGAAGCCACATACATACTCGGTCTTTACCACCATAGCTTCTCAAACTTACTGCTACAGTGTCATCTCAAATCATGATGAAACGAGACATACCAAGCAACGTCCACATTCCAATCCCCGCAGCGCAGACATCACCAGGAATGTGCTCAGACCGGACTATATAAACACATTCAGCATCTATGCTAGACCAAGCTCACTCTTTCTTCCAATTTCCCATTACTACTGAATACATCCTACTATACAAGAATACCCTATAACAATGAAGCCACCTACCATCTTGGCCACCCTCCTCACCCTGACCCTAACTGGGCTATCTGTGGCTGATAAAACCTGTACCCCGAGCTTCGATTACTGCTCGGATGTGCTGTTGAATGATAAGGGTGAGACCTTCTCCAACTATATGTACTGTCAGGTCATATAGTATCTACTTCTCCATCTGATTAGCTGATGCTAATATGAAACTGGTATAGGCTTCTCTCAGTCTGATCTGACAGACGCCCTCCAAGGCACCGGATATGAGAACCAAAGCCTGACCAACATTCTCTTCCACTGTACGAATCCGGGCCAGGTAGGCCATGCTAAGCTGTGTGATAACGGGTGTGTGGACCCTCCTCAGGAGGGCAGCCATGGATGTGATGGTTAAATGAGATGACATGAGGACTTGGCTAGTACTGGGAATGGCGGGCAAATAATAGTAACAAATCAATTTCATTATTTTTGTATGGGTTGGAATCAGGTTGAGGTTGAGATTGGATTCACATACAGAAGCACCAGGCAGCCCGGGCCACGCGCGACGCCAGTTGACGGACGCGCCCGCGGGAATTTCCCTTTTGTATTTTCCCATCCTTCAGTTAAGAGGCTGCGGCACTCATTGTAGGTTGCGGGTCTCTGTGACTCCCAGACTATAATATATGTCATATTTAAATTCAACGCTTTATTATTATCTTCTCGGTATAACAAGCATACATGCGACCGCTACATCACACACACAGACTCAGTTCCTAAGTAGCCTCCCGAACGCGCAGCCCGCGCCATGAACCTTCCCCCAACTCCCTGTTGCGTCTGCCGCTTGAAAAGGCGGGGATGTGACAGGTCCCAACCTAGTCTGTTCATGATCTCTCTACCCATTGTAAAGTGGAGCTAATGCCAGCCAGCTTGTGGAGGATGCAAGAAACGAGGACTAGATGAACAATGTTCCTACCGGCCCGAGGATATGCCTCCCGCCACGTACGTCTGCACGTGTATAGTATGCTCTTTGAATCAACTAACATCCTGCAGCTCTCATAAAAAAGCCAAAATATCTCATTCAGAGGATGAGAGTCGCTCTCTCTCTCCTCCGAGGCAGCAGATCCTGCCACGGAATACTTCCAATGTTGCCCCGCGCTCGCAGAGGAAGCGTCGGCGGGATGAGTTCTCTCCTTTCCGGCATGATCGAAACCGACATGACTTGGTGGAGGTATATTCTATAACTTCAGATGACAGCGACCCTCCTAACCCGTCGGGTACCGGGATCAATGCCCACATCTCGCGCCTGACCCGGCTGCAGCAGGCTGTAGATGCAAGAACAGGCCGCGTCAAGACTGAAGCTCCAATCGAAGATGGCATATTCTCGTTGCAAGATACCGGGCCAGACTGCGTTCCTCACTCTACCAATGCCGAATCTCCAGTCCAACTGCCCTCAGATCTGATGGACAGTCTGATCGCCACATATCTGGCCCGCGACTACGTGAACTGGCCTATCTTCGACCTGTCAGACTTTCAGTCGGCCTGTGAAAAGGTCCGCGACGTGCAAGACCTCACCGCTGGGTCGAGTGGCTTTCACGCCATACTCATGATGATATTGTGTCTCTCCGGTCTGAGATACCGCCAAGTAGATGAAGCCTATCTGCAGTCCCTCTTCAACCACGCCCAGAGAATGACAAACAGCCCAGAGTGGCAGAGCACCCCTTGGGTGCGCGTGCAATGCCTCTTTCTACAATGCCAGTACCTTAATGCAACAGGAAAATCCAAACAAGCTTGGGCACTGATCGGTTACATCATCCGCACCACGCAAGCCCTAGGATTCCAGTCCCAAACAACCGCCCGCAACGGCCGAGAAAGACAGCAGCGCGAACTCGGCCGCAGGCTCTGGCACAGCGCAATCATCCTGGAGCGAATGCTAGCATTACAGCTAGGCCTACCGCCCCAAGTCAACAACCCCCTCCAGGTGCACCTCCCCACACACCTAGACACCGACTACATCGACATCGTCTCCGGAGGGACGCCCAACTCCAGTGGAGACAGGCCCTCAATCATCGAGTTCCTAATCGCATGCGCCAGACTCTACACTCATGTCGAAGACATCACCGCCTGGGAATCCGAAGCAAGAACCCGACCAGACACCTGTGCCGCGAAGAAACTTCTCGCCCTGGACATCTCCCTATTTCTCAAAACAGACGCTCTTCTTTACGACTGGCAAACATCTCTACCCTCATTTCTCCGCACTGATGAGACATTCGAACTAGCGGACGACCCAATAGTCCGCCGACAACGCCACACCCTGCACGCCCGCTACCTCTATCTCCGACTTCGACTCTACCGACCTCTTTTGGCTCTTGGCCTCGCCCTGTCCGCCAAATGCCCCTGCCACTCAAACAAGCACCCTCACATGTCAGAGACTGATCCTTCTTCATCTATCAACTCGCCCATACTAGTAACCATCGTTCGCGACACCTCCCTCAAATGCGCCGCCATCGCCGCAAACCTCGTCGACTTGATCGAAGAAACCGAGGACGGGCTGCTCGACGGCGGGCCGGACGATACCTGGCGCAGCGCAGGCTCGCCCTACTGGGAGAACGTGGAGTATCTGTATGCCTGTGGGATTGTCATTCTGGCTGCGCGGCTGTGTCCTAGTTGGGGTGTGGCGCCGCTGAAGAGGGCCTGGACGAGGGTTATCTCCTTGTTGACGAAGTATGAAGGGTTCCGGGCTGGGGAGTATACTCGTCTTGCGAGGTTGGGGAGAAGCACGCTTGAAAATTTGGCGAGTGCGTTGCAGCGGGATGTGGGTGATGCGATGGTGATGGGGTTGGACGGGGAGGTGAGGACGAGGCTGGTGGGGAGGACGAGTGGTGGTGGTGTGGATTCGTTTGGGGGAGGGCGTAGGCAGAGTCAGGGTCACAGTCAAAGTCAGAGTCAGAGTCAACGGGGAAATTTGGGTTGGGTTGAGAGTTTGTTGGTCGATTTGGTGGGAGATGATGTGTGATGTAGATGTAGATAGATACCCTTTGTGTTTTGATTGATGGCATAATGATCAAAAATTCACATATGAAATAGTATAGAACGTACTACTATATTAATCAGCTTGATATTACTATTTTTTCTTTTCAAGTTCATGTTATAAAATTTATCATCAAGTTATGTATATCGTTTTGGCCTACTGACTACTAGTACTCACTTGGCTAAAATCAGTGCTTTCTTTTGACGGGATATATTTAAAACACCACGAGATTATTTGTAGCTAGGAGTATATATCCAGCCCATCTCGCACTAAGCCCCGAACCAAAACCATATTAGCACCGTTATTAGTAGTTACTTACTCTTTCGAAAGAACATCTGCACGAGCTCCTCCTATAGTACATTAACCGAGATCAACTTAGTAGATCTCCGTCATTGCGGATGCGGTGGCCCTGGCCAAGTTTCCTATCAAATGCGCTGCGACCAAGGGGACCGAAATGAATGCTGCGGATCCCCCGTACAAATCCGAATATCAAGATAGAACTCATAATACATGCATATTTACAGTATATATATATATACACAATCTTAGACAGCTGTCTCCAGCTACTGCTTCTTCTCCGCCTCGTCGATCAATGTCTCCATCTCCTGCTCCGTCCACCGATGAAACAGCTTCTTCGGATCCGACAACGACGCGTCACTCTGAACCGACTGGACGTGTAGTACGGGAACATCGAAATCGTAGACATCCTTCCAGGGCTTATTGCTCGGGAGCTGGATATCCAGCTCGGTGTAGTCGAAGGGACGACGCTTGTGCAGCTTCGTGACGGTGAGTTTGGCGGTGTCGCAGAGGCCGCAATTGGCGCGGGTGAAGAGAGTGACGCGAGCAGCGGCGAGACGGGCGGCGGTGGGGAGCATGTTGCCGTAAGTAAAGGATATCCAGACTATATTGGGGTGTCTAGACTAAGTTGAAAGTAAATCAATCAAGACTATAGAACTTGAATATGGAATCGCGGGGAAGAGCAAGAATGGATTGAATGACTGGAACCTTCGAGCTCTTCCCCCCGGCTAAGCCCGTTTGGGCCGAACCTCAGCGGCGGTTCTTCGACCTTCGATGTTTGCGACAATCGATCTTTCCCCCCCCATAGACTCATATCTCTTCCCCAGGAGATACCGTTAAACCGTCGGTCTCTTCTCTTACTCAGCTCTGCTTCCTCTCATTTCAGTCGCTTCTACCCCATTTCCCCCAGCATGGCCTCCAAGTGTGTCCACAAGGGCTGCGGGAAGGAATTCACCGACGCCGACGAGCCCTGCGTCTATCATCCTGGCCCGCCGGTGTTCCACGAAGGACAGAAAGGTATTTAACAGAGGACTCCGAAGGGGGGACCTTGGGAGTAGCTTAGTTGATCCACCGTCTATCTTATCTGCTTCCTGACTCAGTTCCACTCATCCATCTACTTACACATGATCGCATCCAACATACTAATTGAACCAACCCGCAGGCTGGAAATGCTGCAAACCCCGCGTCCTCACCTTTGACGAATTCCTCGCCATCCCTCCCTGCACCACAGGCAAACACTCCACTGTCGACGACACCCCCGTCGAACCTCCCAAACCCGCCGCTGAAGTACCATCCCCGGCCGCTACTCCCGTCCCCAGCGCCGCCGCCGCCGCCGCTACTCCTCCCCGCCCCGTCAACTCCCCCGCTATCCCTCCTCCCTCGAACGCGCCCACCCCCGTGCCCGAAGAACCCGAGTCCGATGACCCGGATCTAGCCATCCCCGCGAACGCGACCTGCCGTCGTCGCGGTTGTAATACAGGCTACGATGCGAACGTCTCGCGCGACGAGGAGAAGTGCGTGTACCACCCGGGCCAGCCAATCTTCCACGAGGGAAGCAAGGGTTGGTCATGCTGCAAGAAGCGGGTGCTGGAGTTTGATGAATTCTTGAAGATTCAGGGTTGTTCGGAGAAGAAGAAGCATCTGTTTGTGGGGAAGGGGAAGCCGGCGGGTGAAGAGAAGGTCGAGTCTGTTAGGTGAGCTACCACTCTTTCTCTCTCTACAGCTGCGGGCGCTTGCTGCGGATTGGAAGTATACTAAGATATTATGGATGACAACAGGAGCGACTTTTACCAAACCGCCTCCTCCGTGAACGTCTCGCTCTACCTGAAGAAGATCAACAAAGACACCGCCAAGGTCGAGTTCAAGGCCACGTCGCTCGAGCTGGACCTCCCTACGACGGATAACAAGCGCTACACTGATTCATATGAGTTGTTTGCGCCCATCGACCCCGAGCAGTCCAAGTTCCGCGTGCTGGGCACCAAGTTGGAGCTGACGCTGGTCAAGGCCGACGGGACGAGCTGGCCGGTGTTGCGTCGCGATGATAAGTGGTCGGGAGAGAGAATCCAGATTGGAAATGCTGGACGGGTGTAGTAGCAGCTGCCTTTCTAGATATATACATTTTATAATGATGGTGAGGGAGGGAGGGCTGGGGTGGAGTATAGTTGGTATGAGATATGAAATAAAAGTGATGACCGCATTGAGAAAGTGCTTATCTTATCCGGAAGAACTGAATGAAATCAGCCTTAATCAGCAGGTAGACATGTGCCCGATATAGTAAGGTGCACTGGCACAGTCAATCATAGTACTTGGCGCAATCCAAGGGCAATATTATGAAATCCAGTTGACGAGACGAACTGCGTAGTAGTACTGCGACTCCAGCATAGACAATAATCCTGCGCCCATATGCGCATGCCATATACTAATAAGTCTGCACCGGAAACACAAGCCCTTAAGCTAGTGATACCACGTGACATACGGATTCCCAAGAACCCAACTTCACCGCTGGCGGCACATATACACACCCCAATATCACTTTTCGACAGAGGAATATGTATATATATAGTATGTAAAGACATAGCCAGCACCCGATCTACGAAAAATGCTATATAATCCTCTCACAAACCCCATTCAACATAAAGAATAAAGTTTTGAAAAAAGGAAATGTAATGTACCGCCTCCTCCACAGCTCAAGCGCATGGGGATTTTATCCTTTCGAACAAAAAACCCTAGCTAAGCCATGAATTGTAAGGGAAAAAGGAAGACGAATTGCGTTAAAACAATGCTCTGCAAGGCTGGGAACGGAGGAGAAACCCATAGAGAAAAAATCCCACACAAGATAACCCTCAGCGAGCCGTACGGTGACGGAGCCCCGGTAAGATTTACTAAATTACTTGAAGGTAAAAGTAAACCGCTACTGATGATGAAGAAGAAAAGGAAAAAAAAAAAAATGAGGGCGAAGGGGGGGGCCGGCGGATAGGGGGGGTTTATGTAGGGGTTGGAGGGTGGGGACGCTAGGGGCTAGTGGGTGACGAGGTGGTAGGGGATAGGGTTGGGGTTTTGAATAATCACGTGGTTGATTGGGGGGAGGGGGGTGATCACATGTGATTGATTGAGGTCAGGATTGGGATCGGTGAGAAGAGGTGGGGTGGAGGTGTGCTGTGTATTTTATGTTGTATTTATGTTGGTATTGGGTTATTTTGATACGAGGTATCATATCGTCCGGAAGTATATTGATGTTTACTTTGTTCTGTGTATGGGCTTGTAGTATATGGTTTATGAGGTTAGATTGTTTCGTTGCAGAGGATACAATGGGTTTGCTATCATTGAGATGCCTTGAAATAGGTATGCAGCGAGACTGTTGGGGCTTTCGTGCAATGTACATAGTAATTAGACACGTTTGCTTGGATGTTGAATTTAGATGATGTAGATGATATGTGAAAGGTAGGCATATTGTACTAGCTGGCTAGTAGCTCCTTCCTATTTTATACTTATTATTATCTCTTTATTGTTATACCTACAGTAAGGTCTATTTAGTTTCTCTACCATAATCTTATCTATGTTGCGTATGGTTCTGTACTGTATCCATCAATACGCTGCCATCATACACTCAACAACACCCCTGGCCCCTGATGCCGTCGGCCAAAAAGCCAGTATCGCCATGAGCGATATTGATGGTCTGCTCAATATTCAGCCCTCTAAGCTTCATCACGAGTCTTCATGCCTTATTCAGCGGAGGGGTAACACTGGCGTCATCTCAACGGATGGCCAGCCAGTTGGTTGGCTGCGGTGCAATCCTCAGAAGGCGGAAAAGGAGGGGTTCAGGGCCCGCCGCCGCCTTCCAATCAGTGAGTCGCTGGCACGAGACCAGCGGCGACATCTTCTCCTCCTCCTCTCCTGTTCTCTTCCTCTTCGTCATTTCTCTTGCGCCTGTCTCTGAGAGTATTAATTGCCGGCCAATTTGTACTCGTAATCACCCCTTTTCAGACAGCTCACGGACCACACGGGAAAAGGAAAATCTCCTGTTCTGTCTATCACTTTTTTAGTAGGTACGTGGGTACCCTTGTTCTACATGTGTGCTTTAATTCAAGGCTATGCCTTATCATGCCAATAACTAGCAAATCGCTTGAATAGTGTGGCTGACTTTGCGTGGAAGAGTTCTAGAACGGCTAGACCCTGGTCGACTGTCGCGTATTGTTCGATCACCGCCATTTTTTTTCTTTCCCTCCTTTCACCCCCTTGGATTCTCCCACAACCGCCATAATGCATGCAGAAGATCGCAGGCCCTTTCGTCACATTCCCCTATCATACAATCACGCCGACTCTCATGCCTCCGCGCTGAGGCTCATCTTGACACTCAACCCGCACTGGGAGGGACCGGACAACAAGATCGAGTTTGTCCGGTTCACGGATGGCATCACCAATACTGTGTGTTCCTCGCAATGTTCTCTTCGCCGGTGCTCGCTGTAAGAGGCAACACCGCCATTCTATGGGACTAACGTGGCTTCCAGCTTCTTAAAATCATCAATCGCAAGCCCGGCTTGACCGAGGAGCAGATAGACCAAGAAGCAGTACTGATGCGAGCGTACGGTAACCACACAGAAATCCTCATAGACCGCGAAAGTATGCCACCCGGGGTCACTACTTGCCCCTCCTCTCTGCCCATTGCGACACTTGCTGAGTAGATACTTCTACCTATAGGAGAAACGAGATCCCATGCTCTTCTTGCCAGCCATGGATTAGCCCCTCCTCTCCTGGCGCGCTTCAACAATGGCCTCCTGTACCGGTTCCTCCGTGGCCGCCCAGCCAGCGCGGAGGACCTTGCTACGCCTGCCGTCTGGCGTGGTGTGGCCAGGAGACTTGCGCAGTGGCATGCGGTGTTGCCCATCAAGGGAGCCGCCGCACCGCTAATGCCCGCCGAGGACGTGACCCTGATGCAACATGTAGATGAGGCCACGGCACACTGCCAGAAGTTGAAGCACGAGGACATCTCCGTGATCACCCCAAAGCAGCCTGGGCCGAGCATGTGGAGTGTGCTCCAAAAATGGATCCTTGCTCTGCCCACGACCACGGAGGAGCAGCGCCAACGGAGACTTAGTCTGCAAAAGGAGCTGGAGCGGGTTGTCAGCGAGCTAGACGATGGAAAGGGCCTAGGCGATGGTGGAGTACGTAGCACTAGTCCCTGTTATACGGAACGACCATTTAACCTCACACTAGTTGGTTTTCTCTCACTGTGACCTTCTTTGCGCGAACGTCATCGTGTTGCCCGAAAGCGCCTCTTCGGAAGACGAAGCGGCCGTTGTCAACTTCATCGACTACGAATATGCTACCCCCTCACCTGCTGCCTTCGACATTGTCAACCACTTTGCCGAATGGGGCGGTTATGACTGCGACTACAACATGCTGCCCACCCGTTCTGTGCGACGCGAGTTCTTGACCGAATACGTCAAGAGTTACAGCCACCACAAGGGTATCCCAGAATCATCTCAAGGAGAGATTGTCAATCGACTCTACGAAGACGTCGACCGGTTCCGAGGCATTCCCGGGCTCTACTGGTATTGTCCCTTACGTGCTTTTCATATACTACATGCTAATCTAAACAGGGGCGTGTGGTCACTCATCCAAGCCCAAATCTCACAGATCGACTTCGATTACGCCTCTTACGCCGAGGTCCGTCTCGGCGAATACTACGCATGGCGCCGGGAGGTAGACGGGTCGCGGACCCAGGCAGGTGAAGAGATGCCCCTCCGGGAGCGACGATGGGCTCAAGAAGCTTAATCGATGTGACCGTCTATAATCACCTCCCCGACTCTCCGTATACCTCCCTCGAAATCTGTTTGAGATAGCAAGCGATGATCGTTCCAGCGATAGCATAAGCGATTTAGAGTCTGGCCGTCTGTCAGAGTTTAACAAAGTTTTGTTGATGGGGTGCGGTATCCTTTAGGGACGGGATACAGGATGCACGAATATTTATATTCAACATATTTTTTTATTTTCCACGATGACTGGAAATGGCTGATGGGATAGACATGACTATACCGCGGCTTTTGTCCCTTTTTTCTTGTCTATAGTTACGAATGTTTGATAGATAATATAATCATTTTGCCAGTACACAGATAAACATACGTCATTGCTTCACGATGTAGTACTACCAACCAGTTTTCTGCCACAGATACAGGCTTGGCTTTTTAAAGGATCAACAACCTCCAAAGACACTTGATAGAATCAGATGGTCAGTAGCAATCCACCCATTTGGGCACGGACCCAATTATAGAAATGGGTGGGTCACGGGCGCTAAACGTTCGTGACAGCTGAACCGAGTAGCGACAGCATCTGTACGATGTACTACTACTCACCACAGGGACATGGACGTCTAGTCTCTGCGTTATTTTGGGGGCGTTGCGACTCTCACTGGAGGGTTAAGAAAACATTGTTGAAGTTGAAGCTAAGATAACCATTTAAAATACCGTTGGTTAACCATCGTCGTGTGCACCGCCACTGTCTCCTACATATGGTCGACCACACATCCTATCCCCCCAGCGGCTAGATTCAATTGATCCTAGAAATGTCTACGTAACATTCGATAAAAAATCCCTGTTGGTGTACCTTTCCATTAGGCATCCATGGTTCGGCTTCGACAATGCCTGTAAGATGCAATGTGGCTTAGACATGCAAGTCCGGAACCATTTTCTACCCTTGAAACCACACATTCTATTCTATATTATATCTGAATGAGATAGCATAACCATCCCAGTCTATCAAATCCTCAAAAAACAAATTGTTATTGGGAGAATCACCTCAAAATATACCTTTCTCGCCAGCATCACAACCCTCCAACGCCCACCCGCAAACGTACTAGTATAGACTCTGACCGACCCTGCGGCTACACTAACACGCTCACTCGATCTCTCTTAGTACCCTAAAGCACCTGCATCATTCTCCGAAAGAAAACCCCGATATCAATGATGGCGCAGCAATACACTCCCCAAACTAGTAGTACTAAATACTACTAGTATGCACCTTCCCGGTACTCATGATTGGTGCCTGTCACACGGGCGCTAATCTGCATACCTTCACACCCTCTCAAACATTCAGCTTGAAGGCGCTTGTGATGGATCGTCGCACCGCCCTCGTGTGTCAGTCAGCTGCGATGCACCAATCCCAACCCCTCTACTAGTTCCTAGCTCTCATCCCCCCTACCCCCCGCGGCAACTGACTATGCTCTCGCCTCAGCCCTTCGAATGATTTCGATCATCATGCACCTGCACGGCTGGGCTGACTGACTGACTGGGCTAGACTATACCTACAGGGTAGGTTAGTAGGTTACGTTAGCTATGCGTCCGTTTTAGTTATTTAGAGGCGCCGGCAGCCTTGTCTTTCGTCTTTTTGCTCTGTTCTCCCAATCTTCCCGTGTTTGTTTTATGCATTGAGTTTTCTGGGCTTATTTTAATTTATTCTCAGCTACTACTATTATACATCATCTCTACTGCCATCTAGTTAACAGGCTCAGCCCCCATCCTAACTACTACTAAGCATGTCCGAGATCGTCCGCTCAATCACCTTCCAAACACCCCAGGAATACTACGCCGGCTTTAAATCCAGACCGAATTTACAAGAGGCGTTCTGCGATATCGATAATGAAACTAACCTCAAGGCTTACTTAAAGCTCTTGAAGGAACCTCAGACGCGTAACTTCGTTCTCGACTTTGGGAATGAGGATGCTTGGTGTGCGGTGAATCTGGGGCAGGAGGATGTTGCGGCGATGTTGAGAAAACCCGTATGTGCTGTCTGCGGAGTGGGGGAAGATGGAGTGCTGACGATGAGGGGCTTAGAAACCGAAGTGTTTTGGTACGAGGTGGATGTACGTTTGTGCTTTCTAGTATTGCCCCTCTGTTATTATAGGATTTGGTTGCTGACCTGTGTCTTTCTAGTAATATCTGGGCTCCGGAGCAACAGAAGGATTTGATCAAGACCCTTACGAATTACTATGGTGTCTCGGAGCGGCTGCAGGGGTTGATGTGTACGGATCCGGTGGAACGTCCTTCGAAGCCTCCTGTGCCTTCTGAGCCACAGAGGCATAATTTTCGCTCGAATAATACCGATCGCTCTCGTCGGTCTCGTCCAGATGATGTGGAGGGGAATGCATTACAGAACTTGAGACATCCTGAAGAAATTGCGGCCTTAGCGGCGTTCAGAGGTATTACCTTTGGCAATGTCATTGATCAAATTTGGCACTTTTGCTCGGTGGACTATGGTTTGAAGTGTAATGCTTATATCTTTGAATTCAGTCAGGCGGTACTAACGCGGATTTAGATACTTGTATTGGGTACAATTCGCTATTTGTTATTCCTCAAACAGACCAACATAATGGGAGAGAGTTGCCGGATGGAAAGCGACTATGGACCTGGTTGATCTTATGTAATGATGGTAAGTTTGCTATTGGCGACAGGAGGATGTTGTGCTGACTGGTCAAGGAACGGTCATTTGCATGCAGGAGAATCCATTCCCTGGTTTGTCTGGGCCATCGGAGAAGGAGCTGCAAGCTGTGCTCGGCGTAGTCCGCAGGAACATCCAGCTCATCTTTGCGGGCGTTTCAAAACAGCACTTTGCTTCGTCTGAAAGCGACTCGTTGGTTACTATTCGAGTAAGACCTTTTCTGGAAGGTGGTCCAGAACAGGTGAGCATCAAGCAAGAAGATGGGCCGAGCTTGTTGTTCTACTATATATTCGATGACTGGGTGTCTTCGTATGCTCTCGTTGCGCAACGCGAACACAAATATGGGGTGTCCCTGAACAGGCTTGTAAGTCCATGGTGATGGCTCTGTTTCTTCTCGCAAGCATACACTGACCCTGTCCAGAGGCAAGACATGCTATCAAAACCAGAGGTTGACCTGGTCCATGAATTACATCGGCTGGGTAGACAGTTGGCCGTCTTGAGACGTCTCTATCAAAGTTATGAGCTTATCATGATGCGTATACTGCAGAGACAGCGTCTGCTGCGTGACGAGGCCCGGTCAAATCGCCTCCCAATGGCAATGGGACAAAGCTTTGCGGAAAACGAAGTTGGGGATACTCGCCACTCGACGAGGGAAAGTTTCAGCTTTTCAACTCTAGATGCCGATGTAGGTGTCCAGCTTAGTCCGCCTGCTGTAGCTCGATTCGAACGACTGCTCGATCGCATCAAGCTATATTGTCTGTCGGAGATTGAGAGCTGTCTGACAGAGAAGGAAAACCTCACATTCCTTGTAGGTTTGTCCATCCTGGAACAGAAGGAATATACTGACCGATCACTAGAACTTCAACTTGATCGCCCTCAAGGATTCGCAAGCCGTTGAGAAGCTGACGCGAATCACAATTCTACTCGCAAAAGTGACCATCTTGTTTTTACCAGTCAGTCTGATGACTGGTTACTTCTCTACCGAGCTTCGCAACGTCAAGGGCGAATATACGATCAATCAGTACTGGGTCAGCTTTGGCGTGATCATGTTCTTGTCGATGGTCCTGCTCTGGATTTTCGGATATGCCAGCGACACCGTGGAAGGCAAGACAATCTACCAATCGTTGTCCCGAAGCTTTTTCCGCATGTCGAGAGACCGGGTTTCCTACCGTAGAAACGAGACATCGGGCGGCGCAAGCCATCGATCTTGACGCGTCGAGTTATGTGTTGCGATAAGAGATACCCAGCCTTCAGCATATATAGAGCTTCCTGCACAATGCGCAGCCCTGCACACGAATGAACAGATTACAACTTACAAGCACCATGCAAGCGAATCCGATGCTATAGATCTCGAGAAGAGACCAGTCACATGTCTACTCCACTGCTGCTACTTTATTCCGCAGTGCACGTTTCGAATGGCTCATGACAAGCTACTGCTATGTGATCTGTTTGGCCGAACGATGTTACCTATCGGGTGCATTCGCCCCATCCAAATCAGGGTCCATCAAGACCCTACCACATGCTCTCGCAATTATTCTCCTGAGGCCCACACCAGTAGCACGAGCCATGACGGCATGGCCTCGAACAATGATGAAAATCCGATACGGGGAATTGCAAATGCCACGCCTCCAGGAGTCACGGGGATGATGCGGCAGTGGCCCGTCGCTATGAGGATCGCTTGCTTATCTGGCACGAGGGATGAATAATAGCATGACGCGTAGTGAGCTGAAAGTGGCCCCTGTGGGTTCCAAGGACTTGCACGAACCCAAGTGTTTTAACGCAACGGCGTACTTTATGCGCGTGAGGCGATTCGTCAATCTAATCAGGAGAGTGGTTAGTGCGATGGCCACCAAATTACGGAATTTACCCTGAAATCATCCTCATCCATTTCTCAATGTTCGAGGGACAATTGAACGACAGGCGTGAGCACAAGACATCCATCGATACCCTTCTTGACTTGCACCCCATAGTAGTGCCACCGAAGGCGATCCACTGGGACGGGGTACCCAGAAAGCCTTGTTCGGGAACCTATCAGGTGTCCGAGTGGGCACCGATCTGGGTGTCTGGACCTTTCCTCGGGACCAAGAGGGGCCCAGGGGGGCAAAGGAGGGAAACAGATAGATACTAGGCAAGAGAGTATGCTGGGCAAAGCAAAGAGGCTGTGAACGGGTAGCAGCATTAGACCGTTGTGGGCGACATGAGGATAGGCAACGATGAAGTCCGTTCCATTTGGCGTAAAAACGGTACGGACTTGTTTCGTGGGTAAGCCGATCTCGAGGCAGCAACAACAGGGATGCTGAATTGGTATCAACCGGGAATCCATTGACGGGAAACACCGTGTCCTCTTCTTTTCCTTTCAGGAGCCGCAGTCTTGATGCAGGAGGACACCACGAGAGCCTCGTCGAGACGGTCTGTGTCTGCTGGATGGTATCAAGTATTAGTTGTAAACTCTATTACTATCCTAGATTCAATCTATATACACTGTCTGTCTTCAATTGCAAGCATTGTGCCTGTTTGTTGCGTAAAAGACATCCTGGTAACAGAGAATAGAATACATAGTTTGGTATTTTTGACCAGCTGGTTTCGTTAGTGACGGAAGCTACGCCGAGCGGCTGAATTTCTCGACCCAAAATTCCCACCACCTCGTCAAAAAAACCGTCTTTCTGGCGTACGGTAAGGGCAAAAAAGACCTGAACCTGACCGACCTGACTGAAACTAACAGAACTGACTGACTGACTGATCACTCACTATCTCCAGCTTGTCTCTACTGTCTTGTGTCGTATCCACGCCTTCCAACTCTCCCTCTTTCTCCCTCCCTCTCTCCTTCTCCAGCTTCAACCGCAACCTGGTAAGTCTTGCTATATTCCCCTTCCTCTCCCTCTCTCTCTCTCTCCCCCCGGCTGGTTCCTCTCCATTTTTGTCACCCGATCACACACCTCTATTCCCTTCCTCTCCTTTCCTTAACGGCCACCGCTTTCTCCCCCTGATTTGTCCTGCCCGCCGTGTTTCCCCGGCGTGACTACCTTAACCTGATTACCTTCGCCCCTCGTCCACCACTCCATTCCATCCGTCATACCACTTGCCCTTTCACCCTTATACTATACCTTCCCCCTCCTCTGCCCGACGTCACTAGGTCTGTGTTCTATCGCTTGACCCTCTCTCACTCTCTCACTCTCTCACATTTCTCCCTCTCTCTCCGACCGTGCGGTGTGGATCTCGCACACCCTGGACTCTCTTGGTCAGATTGATTCTAACATCGCATTCTCATCCCTAGACCTTTGAATCTCACGCAACCGTCGTCATGGGTCTCACTTTCTCCAAGTTGTTCGACCGGCTATGGGGCCGCAAGGAGATGCGTATTCTGATGGTCGGTCTCGATGCCGCCGGTAAAACCACCATCCTGTATAAGCTCAAGCTGGGTGAAATTGTCACCACCATCCCCACGATTGGTCAGTCCACCTCTTTCTCCCTTTTCTCGGCCCAGACAAAGCAGAACTTGGTATCGATCAGTAGTTGGGCTTGGCTCAGCGCCGAACGGAACGATATTGTGCTTGGAAATGCATTTCAATCCACGATGGGAAAACAACAAGACTGACAAGTGTTGTTTTTGTGCTGCGCAGGTTTCAACGTCGAGACCGTCGAATACAAGAACATTCAGTTCACCGTCTGGGACGTCGGTGGTCAGGACAAGATCCGTCCTCTCTGGAGACACTACTTCCAGAACACTCAGGGTATCATTTTCGTTGTCGACAGCAATGACCGTGACCGTATCGTCGAGGCCCGTGAGGAGTTGCAGCGCATGTTGAACGAGGATGAACTCCGTGATGCCCTTCTCCTGGTGTTCGCCAACAAGCAAGATTTGCCGGTATGCTCGAAATCTATTCCCATCGCAACAACGTGAAGGCCGAAACAATGGATATTAACTTTGGCTTTCTTTTTCTTTAGAACGCCATGAGCCCTGCCGAGATCACTCAGCAGCTTGGTCTGCAGAGCCTCACCCGCCGCCCCTGGGTAAGTTATATGCCCCTCGCATATCGACACCTAAGGTGTCGATTCCCGAGTATCCACCCAACTAACGCGCTTGCTTCCCTTTTCTAGTACATCCAATCCACCTGCGCCACGACTGGTGACGGTCTGTACGAGGGTCTGGAGTGGCTTGCTGAGACGCTGCGGAAAACGAACCGCGACTAAACTGATCATCTAATGAGTGGAAGAATACCTGGAAGTTTGTGAACCTGGGAGTTGCGGATGCTGGATGGGGAACCGGGGCCGGCAAAGTCACCTCGTGTAGGGGAAAGGGATTATGCTTGCTAAACTTGGTGGTTCTTGTATGTTCTCTAACGGCTCTTCATTCCTCTATGCTATTAGCTTTTACTTTTTTTTATCATTTCTTTTGTCACCCTGGCGCCGCCCGATTCCTTTTTTACGACTTCTTCTCTGCCTTTGTGCTTCTCAACCGCATGCCGTTTCCTTCCCTCCCTTTCTCTCGACTCGACTCGACCTCGTGCTCGGAGCAGAATAAGGGAGGGAACGGGAACAAGGGACAAAAATGGAAAAAGGAAAGGCAGTATATCCATGGACTGGGCTGTGATGCATTTGGCCCCGAGAATGAGAATGAGAATGTAGAACGAGTGCATGTAGTGGCCGGTTTTTTTTATTCTACTTCTAGTGAGTTGTGATAACTTTTTATAAATATAACATGACTATGACTATGACTATGACTATAGCTAGTATTATCGAGTGCAGTCTATCCATCTTCCAGATTCCTCCGTTTCCCCCATGGGTCAAGTACTTGAACGAACGTCCCATTACCACTTTCCACATCCCCAAAGCCAATTATCCAATACTATCTTGTTTGCTCTACTACTAAATATATATGTGAACTGACATGCTATAGTATCATGTATATACAGTGTATATATATGATCATTAACTCCACCTCACCTACATCCCTCGACAACTTGACGACGAACAGGTGCTCCCTCCCACTTCTGCGTCTTCTGCTGCACCAGTTCCTCCCCGCTTACCCACCACGCCGCAGCACGAATAATCTTCAACACACATTCCAACTCCTTTTGATCCCTCGGCGCATAGACCATGACGAACCCTGTCGGCACGGTCCGCAAATAACACCACCACCAACTCTCCCGCGTTAATGGATGTCGCTGGCCCCAGCCCCGCTCGATCACTGCTTTCACGTCCGCCGGATGCAGCGTCAAATGAAGACTTCCGTCGCTGGGGTGCGCGTGACATACTTCCCCGTTGCAGGTGCGGCGGTGACGCCATTGTTGGTTGCGGGACATCATTAGCGAGGAGATGTCGCGGTCTTTGAGCGTGCCTGCGCTTTGTTGCTGGGGTGTGTCGGTGCTGGAGCAGAACATGCCCGTGCTGTGTTTTTCGAAGCATGAGGTCCCTTCGTAGAGGGCTTCTGGGTTTTGGGATACTAGTTTCTGTATCTCGGTCGAGAGGGTCTTGTACATGGCTGGATTGGCCTTTTGGGTCATTTGGCGCTGGGGAGCGATCCCGGCGACGGTGGGGCGTGGGCCATGGCGTTGCGGGAGGTTGGTGGAGTTAAGGAGGCCGGTCTTGGGGAGGAGGGTCAGTGGGAGGGAGGGTGGTTGGAAGGGGTCCCGGATTGTGAAGAGTCGAAGAAGACAGATGCGGAGGTAGCCTGTTGGGGTGGAGGGAGTGCCGCCGGGGCCGAGGGCGAGGAAGGCTTGGTAGTCTTTGTGGATGCGGTGGAGGAGGAAGATGGTTGGTACGAGGAGGATTGGTAGAAGGAGGAATATGCTGTCCAGGGGTGGACTGTAGGTGTGGTTGGTTGTCAGGTGTTCCTGTTTGGTGTTAATGGAGGTTTGCTGGGTGGTAACGAGGAGGTACGGACCATTGTCGTCACTTCGTTATTTACTCTGCCTTATGTAGTAAAGTCTAGTGCTTCTTGGGTGTGAGGAAAGGTATAGACGAGTGGTATAGATTCTATCTCAATTGACTTCGAGTCGGGAGAGCTGCATACCTCCGGGAGTATGTGATTCACACTCTAGTTTTATAGTTAGTCATCGGCATCAAGACCGCAGGTGCCACGATACTGGACTGACCCAGTTGGTATTGAATGGCCGGGGAAGCAATCAGTGCTATCCGTCGGGGCATCGAGACCTCCTGATCAAGAACCTGAACCTGCTTGATGCAGCGTGCATGGACAGGTGGGCCAATCATCACCGTTGCATCACACACCGCAAGTACCGCGAGGCGAAAGCTGTCTAGGCGACAAAGAAGGTTGACCCCCGTTTATAGGGGAACAGCAACTCTCAGTGTCATAATTCAGTGTGCGATAAAAAAAAAAAAAAAAAAGGTGTGGCCATCATGAGATCTTGGAACACGAGACGGATCGTCGTCACTGTGATGTATGACGACAGCCATTCCAATGGGAGTGGTCTCGGGAACTAAAAGCAAAGCAGATATTAACTAGCGAGTTAGTTTCCGCAGCATCTATTCGGTCAGCGACGGCATGCCGACCCAGTCAGCGGGTGACTTTTCCTATCCCTTCTGAGAGCTCTCTCACGAGGCGGTGCTCCCAATCCGGCACATTCTTGCACAATGGGTTCAGGTCTGGTCTTTGTTAGGCTTTCGTGGCTGGCGGTGGAATGTGAGTTGGTGTCTGGGCGTGTGGAGAGAAAGCTGGGGTAACTGTGGGCCTGTGGGTAGGGTCACGCTGGACTCGATGCTTGCTTTTCTTTCTCAGCAAGAGGCTCGGATCGATCCTGTTGGAAGTTCACGACTGTGTTGTCAGTTATATTGGGTCAATTGACAACTGAAGAGTGATCTTACCGCTGTTGCCGAGGATTTGTAGGAGATGGTCATGCCTAGAAGTCGAGTATAGTCTAGGTGAGGCGGCCAGCGTCGGATCAAAAAGATAGTGCAGATGCGCCTTGCAGATCAATGGCAAAGGCACGAGGGAGAATGTTCCTTTTGTGTGTGTGTGTGTGTGTGTTCTGCCTGGTCGTTGTACTTCCTGTTGTTCTTGTCTTCCAGTATTGGTGGTTGCTTCTTTTGGCCTGATCAGTCACACTGATACCTCAGGCGACAACATGCCCATACTGGACTAGTCCATGATTGTGAATGCCTCTAACCGCATGTGGACAGCACAAGACCTTTCATCCCAAAAGGGACTTTCTTTGTATTTCCGGATCATTTGAAGGCAACTACTTCATTATGACTAATATTGAGAGTGCATATACACCGTCAATAGCATAATCAATCCCATCTCTCTCAGCTATTCAATTCATGGCATCTTACCGACTCAAGACAGCCTCAATGTCTTGCGCCAAGCCGTCCTGCCGGGCTAGTGCATCAGCACGGCCGTCCCTTGGGCAACGCTTCCTGGCCGATCTACCAAACAGCTCGCTATGTCGTTACCTGTCGGTAGCTCACTGTTTTGTTGATATCGAGATTAATACGGGGCTGTTCCTGCCATCGTCACCTGGTAACTTGTTTGAGATCCATTGGCCTTGATCCGTGGTCACTCTGGGGTTTTCTGTGGCTGGTACTGGTTTGTTCGTATTCACTGCTATTATAGTAGTGGTATACCACTCTAACAAGCAGTCCGTCGCAGACGTGCGCAACAGTCGCACGCCCATTCTCGGGCCCAGTCACGCTGAGTCTACGCTCACCGCAGCAATTGAGCGCCGATATAGAAACAAAATCGACTGCCGAGCATTCTTTTTTCCCGAACTTGATGCCGTTTCATTGATCGCCTGATCCACTCGCATACCTCTGACGTCGCCACCAATACATACCTTCTATGCGAACATAGATCTCCGCCATGCCTGCCCGTTCGAAGAGGTATCAGGTCAATGCATCGTCGCCCTATTCGAGCGACAGTCGCGATGTTGTCGACATTGAGAAGCAACCATCGAGGCCGAGGCGCCACTACCGTCGCGATAGCTACAGCTCGTATGATTCAGACATTGAAGATGACTCGGAAAGCTCCTCCTCGGTGGCTTCGTATCGCCCCATGCTGAACAGAGCGCCCGTGGCACCCGTGCGACGTTCTCGCAGCAGGCCAGGCTATCGCATACCTAACCGGATCATGAGATGGCTTTGCCTCGCGCTACTGGCCTTCTTGGTTCTGTTTATCTGCACCTTGTTTCGCTTTACCTTCCTTTCAGCTGTCACTCGCGTCAATGTTCCGTTGCCGAAGCCTGCTGCAAAGCCGGCACAGTGGGAGAGTTTTCCTTTACTGAAACGTTACCATGGCGGCATCCGGTCCTTGGTATCGCGAAGCGAACAGGTGCCAGAGTATCCCAACGATAATCCGGAGATCTTGGGCGTTGAAAACGCGGAAGATGCAAATGATACCATCATTCAAGCCCGGGACCAGACATTGCCATTGTCGAGCTCTATCTTTAATCCTTATCCCGACTATTCGTCTACGGAACATGTCGAAAAGTACGGTGAGAAGCATGATTGCTTCCTTGATGAGGAGGAGAACCTACGGATCCCTCTGGTACAACACTATCCCGGTGTGCCTCGTGGGTTTCCAGACGCAATCCTGGGCTCCAACGAGATGATCGGTATTCAAGACGACGTTTGCTTTGACCGTTTTGGGCGTCTCGGTCCTTACGGTCTAGGCTACAGTGTGCGAAAGGGTGGTATCGGCGCAGGCCTCGAAGGCGATCGTGAAGGTGCGGAGCGTGTCTGGAACGACGTCCCGCCAGTTGACTTTCGTCGTGTGGACTGGGCAGCTGCGCAGAATCGATGCTTGGCTTCGAACAGCCACCGGTTCCGTGATCTTCCTGCTTCACAATCCGACCGCTTCCGTACTATGACCGTGGGTGCACTAGACACCAAGCAAGCGCCCCAGGACGAGGCACGGTCTGATGGAAAGTCCTATCTACCCCGGTCCGCATTCGTGATCCGCACGTGGCATGATTTTCACTACACCCCGGATGACATCCTGTATCTACGATCCCTCATTTCCGAGCTATCACTTCTCTCTGGCGGCGAATACACCATTCATTTTCTGGTCCAGGTCCGGGACGAAACCCTCCAAATCTGGGCTGACGATGAGGTCTACGAGCGCGTACTAAACGAGGCCCTGCCAGCCGAGTTTCGCGGCATGGCTACTCTCTGGTCCGAGCGGCAAATGAATCTCATGTATCCCGGTCTAGAAGAGACCTGGGCCCGCGGGCTATCCGTGCACGGCGTATACCGCAGCACCTACATGCCCATGCAATACTTTGCCCATCAACACCCGGGATACGACTACTACTGGAACTGGGAAATGGACGCCCGGTACACCGGCCATTGGTACCACCTTTTCGACAAAGTCATCAATTGGGCCCGAGCCCAGCCACGCAAGGGTCTCTGGGAGCGAAACGCCCGATTCTACGTTCCCTCAGTGCACGGCACCTGGGAAGACTTCCGGCAGATGGTCCGCGTGCAGACTGACATCGGCACCAACAGCCCCAACAACCTCTGGAGTGCCGCCGGCGCCTCGCGACCCAGTCAAGACCGCACCCCCGAGTCCCTGAAAGCGCAACAGCAACAACAAGGCGATAAGCCAATTTGGGGTCCGGAACGACCTAACGAACCCGACATCCTCGAAGTCCCCTCGGAAGGCATCCCACCCACCACGATCGACAAAGATCGCTACGAATGGGGCGTCGACGAAGAAGCCGACCTCATCGTCTTCAACCCCCTCTTCGACCCCGAAGGCACAACCT